TCATCTTAGCAAATGACAGCTCTTAAGTGTTCAAAACTGCTTTGAAAACTTCTAGACAGAAAAGGTTTTGCAGCCCAGGCATTCATCTTCCCAGCTCTCCTCAGCTCTCTCCACTCCCTCCTGTGGCCATCCCAGTCTGCACCCCTGGGTCTCCCTCCTAGTCCTCTTTTTCTGAACTAAGACTCCCTCCCTATCCCAGCCATCAGCTGGATGGGTCCACCTGAGGTCCCACTAGTCCAAGCAAGTCAGCACACCGCCCACCCTCATTTCCAGACCTGTCCCCATGCCTTTTCCCATTGGCATTTCCACCCTTCTTATCACTGGCTAAAAACATTCGCCAGGGAGTGATCAGAGCTCCCCACTTCCACAGAAAGAAGCCTCTCTGCCTGCCACTCACACGCACCCCCTCCCCGCTTCACCTATCACACCTCCCCTGCCAGCTGCCAACCCCTGGGGCTGCCCCTCTGCTCCAACTTCACAAACCCAATTTCTTCCATCTTAAGGCCCTTATCAAATGCCACTTTCTCCAAGATGCCTCCTTGATGTCTTAGCTGGAAATAATGGTGATAACAGCTAATGAGTGTTGGAGTTGGTTGGCCATGTGCATTATCTCATTTCATCTGCATCACAGTCGCAGGTGGAAATTATAATTCATATCATCCCCACTTTACAGGTAAGAAAACTGAGTCTCAGAGAGGTTAGTGAATTTTTCCAACTCAGACATAGTTCTGCCCAACTCAGGAGCTCACCATTTTAAACAGGATGACTCCCCCCCGAGTTACCCAAGGCATGTTATCTATTTAAAGATTCTTCAAAAGATGTATGTAGTAGTTGGCAACATCCAATACTGAGGAATACCACCTGGGCTTCCTGGGGAGACCACTGGTCTGAACCCCCCCCCTCACTCCTGATTCCCACTTTCCTGTGGTTCCATGTCATCTCCGTGCCTGGCCCACAGTGACAATCAACACATTAGCTGTCAAACATCAAACACATAATGAGTGACTATTATGTGTCAGTCACCAAGCTCAATGAAGTTGTAGTTGTTATCTTGAATTATCCCTCCCCTTCCCACTCCCTAAACCCTGCTACTCCCCCAAATTCCCCCTTTATCAGGTCACGGCCAGGCCCCCCACCCAGTTACTCACATTCAAGTGAACCAAGGAAAACGTGATTCACTCTTTTCTGATGCCCGTGTCTGGGTGTGTCAATTAGTAAGCATTAAGTTTGGCTGCATTTACCAGAGACCCCAAATAACAGTGGCTTAACCGAGACAGAGGTTATGTCCCTCACACAGTCCAAGGCCAGTACGGCATCTCAGCTCCACAAAGTCCTCAGGGGCCTGGGCTCCTCCAGCTCCCTCCTCTCTGTTCCGAAGGTGAGGCTGTTGTCCTCATGATCCAAGACGGCACCAGAACACCGGCTACTGCACCCTCAGTTCTTGCATCGGGGTGGGGGACGGAGTGAAAAGGGAAGGCACTCAACACAAGGGCCGCCACTGTTTAATAGGCCGTAATTTAGTCACATGGCCATACCTGGCTGGGAGAAGCTGGGAAGCGTGGTATTTATTCTGGATGGCCACATCCCTACTTATGTCCTACTACTTGATGGGACAAGTAATTGATGTCCTATTAATTGATGTCCTATTACTTGGGAAGAAAGGAAGACTAGATGTTAGAGACNCTACTTATGTCCTACTACTTGATGGGACAAGTAATTGATGTCCTATTACTTGGGAAGAAAGGAAGACTAGATGTTAGAGACAACTAGCAGCCTCTACTGAAAGGGTTAGGGGTGTTGATGTGTTCGTGTGTGTGTGCCTGTGAAGTGCGTGTTGTGTGTGTGAGCATGTATGTTGTGTGTTATGTGTTGGTGGTCCAGGTCCTCTCCATCACTTTGATCTCAGATGGGCCTGTTACCAGGTCTCTCTGCGAGCTCCCCTAACCCTCGCCTCTCCTCTCAAGCAGACTTAGCAGCAGCTTTTCAATTCCACGTTTCAAGGAACCGCAGTTTATTTTCGGCAGCCACTGAAGCATATTACCGGTGCTGATGGAGAGGGCTTGTAAACTGTTCTTCCATTAAGGTATTACAGGGTGGCCATTATGTGAGAGCCACTATGAGCAGAGTTAATCTGTTAATAAATTCTCTCGGAAAGGAGGGTGTCATTAACACATAAATCTTAGGACGGGATAGAACTCAATCTTGTGCACAAGAGGAAGACCCAAAAATAGCTGGTACCCTTTTGAGATGGCCCAGGGGAAGCAACGGGCCAAATGCTTGATTCAGAGTTGGCTACAGGTAGTGTTGCCCAAGCATTTCAAGCCCTGCCCAGTAATTACACAATTCAGAAATCGCTGGTTTTTACTCCCCTCACCCCCACCCTCCATCTCTCTCTCTCTCTCTCTCTCTCTCCCCACATACACACACACACACACACACACACACACACACACAGGCAGGGGCTTTACAAGGTTCATGTCATTTACCCTTTGAGCCAGGTGGTGTCACCAGTTCCATTCTACAGATGGGAGTGGATGCCTTAGGGAAGTTAAATATCTTTCCCAGAGACACAGCTAATAAGGGCAGAGCCCACAGCTGAAGCCTTGCACAGCTTGAAGCTGTCCACCATGGCTAGGGTTTGGTGGAATCAGACTGCAAGTTAGCATTATTTAACTCTGTTCTACAGAGA